TTTTTTTTTTTTTTTTTTTTTACTACCTACAGATTCTTGGCTTCACTGCTCTTGCAAACAAGGTAGGCATGGCCACAGAAAACACTAGGGACATCATTGAGATGATTCCTTACAGGTAGGTAATTCTGTTTTTCAAGTCTCCTTCCCCCTTCTGACCATATAGTTTGATTGATGTTCTCTATGAGCAGTTTATGACCACAGCCAAATGCATGACTTGGCCTCAAGTTCATTTCAGACAAGAATAGGACAACCCCTTGTTTGTTCTCAGATCAGGGTCTGATTCTCTTCCTATAGTGGGTCCCCTTACCCACAGGAACTGTTGCATGTACTGATGACGAAAGATACACGTGCATAAAGATACACGTGCATAAAGATACACAGGCGTTGTTTTCATAGCACATTAGGGTCCTCTCAATCTCCACACCTATTCTATTTACTCTGAAGAGCACATTAGGGTCTCCACACCTATCCTATCTACTCTGAAGAGCACATTAGGGTCCCCTCAACCTCCACACCTATCCTATCTACTCTGAAGAGCACGTTAGGGTCCCCTCAACCTCCACACTTATCCTATCTACTCTGAAGGATGGGACAGCAGATGCCTCTGTTTCTAGCCTCTCTCAGAAGCTCAGTGGTCAGGAGGTGAATTTTCCCTTTGTCTTCACCCATTTATATTGAATTGGTATCCTTGAGAAATGTGATTTCATTTCTCTAAGTAGAAAGCTATCTTCAAACAGACTGGTGTGTGGAGTTCTTAAGGTCTTGCAATTAATTCACTTTTATAATTTATAATCCAAACCAGTGACTATGGGACATCACTCTTCCTTCGGTCAGGAAATTATAATTTCTTCTACCTTGATAAGACAAATAATTTTAACTAAAGAAGAAACTGGACTGCAGCGGGTTTTTGGTTCACAGACAGACTTGTGAAGAGTGTTGTCCATTTCCTCAAGCTGTTCAATAGGGACGATTGCAAAAAAGCAGCAATACTGGCTAACTCCTAGGAATATAAAGCATAGGCTACTTTGGCACTATGGCATTGCTTTTTTTCATAGCCTACCCATTCTCAGTGAAATCTAATAATAGGTTCATTTGAAACTCTGTTTCAATTTTTTAAAATGTCAGCAGACCACTTAGGTTCTATGGAGTATAAAACAGTATATAAGATTTGGCCTCTTACTTGGAGGTGGAAAAGTAACAGGAACAATAACAAGATTGATGCATTACATAATTATTTTATTTAATTTTCTTGTCAGCAATACTATGGGGTAGTTCTCTCT